GCAAGCAGGTCCTCAAGGGATATGAGAAGCGTGAGGTTTTGGGAGTCTCTTGAAGGAAAGAAGCCTACAATCAGGAAATTTTGTACTGTTAAGCACCTAGTTATGTTTTCTGGTAAAGAAGGTGCTATAATTCACTTTGGTATCCTAAACATAGCTTGTTTTCTCTCACCAGTGTTCATGGCTGTCCCTTAGGGAATAAAAAAAAAGAAAACATCTCTAGGTTCTGATTCTGAGAAAATATTTGTTTTGTTTTGTTTTTTCCCACCTTTGGTGCTGATATACAATAGTAAGGATCTCTCTGCAAGTATAAAGACCTGACCTGTATGTTAATGAGAATGGTCTTATGATGTTTAACTGTTATAACCAGCTCTGACAAAAGGTACGGGTAGCACTTACAAACTGTTTTAAACAATGAGGGATTTTTTTCATGAACATTTTAAGATATTTTTAAGAATCTCATAACAATGGATTTACAAACTGTTGTTCAAAATGTCACTTTTTGCTTTATTGGAGGGAACAAAAACCTCTATGATCCTATGTATCTTTCCATGTGAAGTGGGTTTGATTTGCACTCTTTTGTCAGAATAATAATACATTTTTTCAAAATAAAACTTTCCACTTGTTTTGAAGTCAAGTGTATTTGACCAAATCCCTGTGCTTCTACACTGTCATCTGGACTATAAAAAAGGTGTCTCCTTTCACACATTTGCCTCATTTCTTCACTGCCTTCTGACTAAGACATTTTTCCTCCTTTGTCTACAATTTCAGAATAAAAAGGTGTGCTGTTCCACAGAGGTTCTTGCGGGAAACAGTTCTTCTTCCCCACAGAGGCTAGAGGCTGCTGGCTCGCGACAGTACTGCATAAGGGGGATTATACTTAAATAATAATTATTCAGGTAATCAAGACTTTAAAAAATGCTGTGTTGTCTGACCTGCAGATTAAGATTTCAAATTCTGAAAAGAAACATAACTCTCTCAAAAAAAAACCCGCTTTTTGTGGGTTGCACCCACAAAGAATCATGGTTTATAACACCAAAGACTAGCAAAGCAAAATTTTTCTCATATACTGCTGTCCACTGAAATCCTTAGCTCCTGGTTATATGCCCAATACCTTCATATATCTTATCAGAGTGATACAGATGCTGGAAAAAAATTCAAAACATACCAGCTAGAACCTTAAGGGTCTGCAAAAGCTACAAAACTGAGGATAAATGGAAGTACCCAAACAGAAATTTTCAGGGAAAAGGATTTATGTGATTCAGTGAGCACAGCCTTAAGCAACTCAGATTCACCTCTGAACATGCTTGAACTGGACACTTCAGACAGGTCATGTCTCAGAGAGGACTTGTGGGATCTATCTTGGGGTTCCAGATATGGACACAAACATTTCCTGTCTAGCCCACAACCACAACTTTACTTCAGGAGCTGCAGAGTATAGTGTGATTGAAAGTGCTCAGCCCCTTCTTTTAAGGCTTCCTTGCTTTGTATAATTAAGTGACTATTTGCCAGGTACTTCAACCTGACATTCCTACATTCAAGATGAGTCTCCTTTTGTTTGTCTGTGTTAACTAAAGTTGAACCACACTAAATAGAAAAGATCTAAGATATTTATTTATTCATAAAACCTATAAGGCCTGCTGATTAAGGTATTTTCTTACACACTGAGAAACTCTTATCCAATATCTAAATCTGCAAAAATGTTCAGATAAAAAATGTCCTCCATGAGCACTCTGTCCACTGGGATGGTAGCTCGTAGACTGTTTCCCTTATTTTGTGTAGACATCTAAGCAAGTTTACCAGTCCTGTCGCACATAGGAGAGTTGGATGGGATGGATCTCTTGACTTCACAGCCATCACTCAGTGGTTCACAAGTGTCAAAATGGGAGCAGGCTTGCACAAGCCAGCTGCAGACATCTGGACATTGAAGGAAAGTTTCCACAGCTTTTACCCGTGAAATCTATATCCAAATGTTAGCTGAGTTATGATTTTGTGAGTATCATGGGAGTCTGACTTATGGAGTGGAACCTGAAAAATTAAATTTTCTCTGTGAATTTAATGCAAAACTCTTTGGCTGTAGAGCTGGTCATTAAAATTGATATTGTCCCCCACTGGTTATGAGTATTCTTAGAACCACAGATTCACAGAAATTATAAATAAGCTTTAAGGAACATCTGAAGGTTGCTTAGTTCATCTCCTAAAATTAAGGCTAATGACAAAACTGGATCTGTTCCTCAAGGCATTCCCCATTCAAGTTCTGAAAATCTCTAAGGTTGGAGAGTCCACAGCCCCCTTGGGCAATCTGTGTCAGTGCTTTACATTCTCTTTGTGACGGTTGTGGTTTGTTTTTTTTTAACCTTAATTTCTCTAGTTTGGAATTTCTTTTGCCTGTGTCTTTTCATTGTGCACTGTTGAATCTGACTTATTTTTGTATAGTGCTCTTTTTGGCAGTGGAAGACTGCAATAAATCATGGAACTGAGGCATATAGTATATCCAGAGACATTAAGGGAAGTAACTTGGCAGAGTCTGGAAAGGAGAAAGCTGAAGTTCTCTTTGCAGCCTTCTGTCTTAGTGGCTCTGCAGAGAACTTCATTTTGCTTTATAACATCACGTTCTCCACTGTCTTCAGTCAATGCTTGCTGCAGCTGTACATATAGCAATTCATACTAACTTAACAATGTTTTGCCTTCTTGTTCCCATTTTTCCAGCTAATTTGCTTTATGCTCTGCAACTAGCTATTTATTCCCTTTAGGAAAAACTGAAGGTTTGTGGATCATGTCATGTTTCTTGCACCAGAAGGACAGCAGTAGTCAATCACTGCTCACTCCTTTCTTGATTCACTGACAATGCTGGCTATATAAAGTACTAGAGAGCATGTAGGTTTTATGGTTCCATTGTATATCCATAAATTCTTGTGAGTTACTGCCTTTTCCTTCTAGGGAACTTCTGTAATTTAATTTATTATGAAAAATGTTTTTTAAATCAGACAATACTTTTTTATTTGAAAGTTGACTTTGTCTTTGTGAATGGCTGTGCAACATACTTGCAGACTAGTTCCTGAAATTTCATGAATAAAGTTTTTGTCTGTTGATTTTGTATATTGTCATTGTAATACTGCTTTTTTTGTGACATTAGTAGCAAAATTTTTAATGTCTGCTTTCAAATTCATGTATTTCCAAATAATCTTGATTTTTTAAAATTATTCCAAATAAAGCTTCACATGAAAGTGTCATGACAAATTTACCCATTTTGTCCTGAAAGAAGCTGGGCCACATATTAAAGGTAAATTGAATAGCTATACTGTAGGCTGCAAATTATGTAGCCCTAAACACTTTATTTCAGGTTGGTTTACTCACTTAACTCTCTCTACACTACTGTAGCTGTGCTATTATCTGCTTGTGTCTGCCTACTTTTAAACAACATGCACGCATAAGCACCTGTAAGTATTTTATAATATGATATCAGGTTAGGCCAGAGTAAGGATGTATGTATCATGTTTTTCAGTACTTAGAATGCTGAGGGCTTTATAGGCAAGATCCATCACCTTCCCTTCCAGGAAGGACAAAAATTACAACCTGTGGTGATTCATTTTCCAAGGCTCCACCTCTAAGGATTGCCAACTACCTAAGTTTCTGCCTAGTACCTAGAAAACCATTGATGTAGGTTTCATTAACTGAGAATTAAGGTATATGTGTACTGTTGCCTTATTGTTTCTGTAAGATACCTTGAGATTAGGGACTTATTTAGCTTAAATCATTAATGCAAAAGCAGAAAACTGTGCTTCTGCAAGGAAGTACAGTGCCCCATTTCTCTTTTAACAGAAGTTCGTGTTCTGTTTCATTTGTTTTTTTTCAGAGATAGTGTGAAGAGCAAACTGTTACTCTGCATAAAGGTAACTGGTTTGCTGAAAGAAACTGAACATAATACATTTCTGTCGTGTTTGTTACATCACAGCTGTGTGGTGAAACATCTAGGTAGCAGACTAGAAGTCTTAGTGTTTAGTTTATTTTCCAGTGAAGGGGTCAGTAGGGCTAAAATCTTCAAGAAATGGTTTAATGTTGTTTCCCATATTTTTTTCTGTTATTTGGGGTTTCTTTGCATGCATTTCTTTCTTCTTCTCCTGGAATGCATAGCTATTCTGTAGTGATTCCCACTCTGATGTGTTCAGAAAGCCCCAGCTTTAGACTTCATTCTACAAAAATTCTAGCTTACTTGTAACAAGGTTACTTTCAAACCCTCCTGTATGAGGATAAAAAAAAAACAACAGTTACACTTATGAATTCCAAAATTAGGAAGGGAATATTTTTATTGTCCACTGCATCAGTCCTTTTGCCTTGGTCCCAGGTTTCTTTGGGAATTTGTATTGATTCTGAACATCTGGAATTGGCGATTTGCCAACTAAAGGGTTTGGTGTGGGGTTTTGTTGGATTTTTTTCAGAGGTGATAGTTTCTGCTTTTGCTACAGAAACTGTAAGAGTTTCTCTTTCAGTGTTTCCTAGTCAAGTAGTCGAAAAGAAAATATTACCTGTGGGATGACGTGTGTTTACAAGCAAGCCATTTATGGCTCTAAATTACTAACACATCCTATATTCCAGGATGCAATATTTGGACATATTTGGACTATTCATTCCCAGATAGAGTATACTACTACCTCTCTGCTGTGAGTAACTAGGGCTGCATTCTACTCATTGCCTGTGGCTTCCAAGAGATTTAATTGTTATTTTGACAACGCTGAGAAATTAATTTACCATATTTCATGGTGCTGTGACTCCCATACAAAAAAACTCCATAAGACATCAACTTAATGGACAACAATAGTGCAATGGAGTATGTTAAATTATATCTTTACAAACATATTGAAACTTGAAAGTAGAGAAAACAGTTTATTTAACCTCACAATAAATTTTAATAATAGAATAGATTAGATTATTATATCTTGACCCGAAGGGTTTATTTCAATTTATAGAAGACTGAAACATAGTTGACAATGAACACAAAACCCACTATTTGCTATGTTTTATTTTCTACAATGTGGTTAAAAGTAACATGCAATTAATTGAATAAAAATACTTGTATATATGACTTATGTGGCAGTAAAAACTATACCAGCAATGGATAAAAATCTTATCATGAAAGTTTACATGAAAATATGACAAAAATAATAGTAAACAATTTTTTTAACCTGAAAAAAGTTTCCCTGTTTTCTTTCAAATATTCATTTAAAAATGTCATGGTCTCTGAAAACACATTTTCATACATTTAATTTTTTTTCTTAGATTGTTAAATCATTTTTTGTTGTTGTAATGGATAACAATATGAAAAAGATGTGAATAATTAAGAAACCTGGATTGGTTGGAGAGGCACCTTGTATTTACACAGGCTAAACCTTCCTGCTCAGCACTCTGATGAAACCCACCTAACATCCATGTAGGTCTCGTACCAGCTGCCGTGTATGGCATGCATGGACATAGATTTCTACTAAACGGAATGATTTTCATCAATTTATCTAGCCAGCCAGATGAAGGCATATTTTGCACCACATTTGGCCATTCCTTTGCTTTCTGATTACAATGATTTGTAGAAATATACACATTTCCTTAAGGTTGCCAAGTGTATGCTAAATATTAACAAACAGAATGGGTAATATGCAGACTGACACTTTTTAAAAGGTATATCCTAACTTTAGAAAGCTATCATGATGTTATTCTTGTAGTTACTGCCCTTAGAAGGGAACTGGATCCTCCCAGGTATCTCATTCCAGTGAAATCTCAGCAGCTACCCGAAGGCAGTTGTACATCTCCTGCGGCAGATCAGCCCGGGTGAGGTTGTTTCCATCCAGACGCAGATGTGTGATCTTGGAATAGGTCATTGGCCCAACAACCTTGCAGAAGCTGCTCAATGGGAACTCTGAAACAAAGGGAACATGAATAAGAGAAAGCAAAGTGACACTTGGGGCTGAGGTTGGGGACGAGATTAGAAGGCAGGTATAGATGTAAAAAAATATATTTATAAAATTATGTATATTTATTGTAATTTATATATCATTATCATATTTATTTAGTTGAAGTATTATTTGGTTCACATAACACGAGACAGTTTTTGAATGGAAAACTGTCTTGTATCTTATGAGCCATATTTACTGTAAGCAATAAATTACATGAAGCAGAGAAATTCTGTGGTCAGTATACATTAGCACACATAATTACATCATACACTTGTCAGGCAGAGAAGATCCATCCTCAAAAATGAATGGATGTGACTACACCTGATATTGCCTGCATACCACTGTGTTTCCTTTGAAACACACATAGGATTAGTCTATTGAAAGCTTCATCACTGCTGAACAATCAGCCTGAGAAAGCTTTTCATCTTCAGGTTATTGACATAAATTGAATTCACACAGTGAATATTTTAAAGGGACTCCTTCAACAAACTCATTCACTGCTATGCAGACAAATTTCATATCTTCAGTTGCTTTTATATTGCAAAGGACTAAGTCTCATAATTTCTGTGCAATCAAGGTACTGTTCTTAACACTGGATGCCATTTTGACTTAGAATCATTGGTTATTTATGGACTCTTGGAAATACTATCTTATATATCTTTTCTGCATTACTATTCAACTCATCTAAGAAAATGTGATGACCTACATCATGTTGTAGTATGGAAGAAAGTGGAGGGAGTATCTTTCCTTTCTCCACTTTGAGTTCAATTTTTACTTTTGAACATCAATACTATATTTGATTGCAGAGTATGCTTATACAAGATGGGTAGATGCTTAACTCCTCAGAGGATGCAAACTTAATGTATGCAAACCTCAAAATGTATTTGTGTTACCAAACTTCTCATCTCTGCTGACTATTTATGAGGACAAAGCCACTTTGAAATTGGATGCAGATCTAGCCATAGAATCATAGAATCACAGAATTGTAAGGGTTTGAAGTGACCTCTGGAGATCATTTAGTCAAACCCCACTGCTTAAACAGGTTATCCTACAGCAGGTTGTATAGGATCTCATCCAAATGGGGTTTTGTACCTCCAGAGAAAGTGACTGCACAGCCCCTGTGGGCAACCTGTTCCGCTGCTCTGTCACTCTCAAAATAAAGAAGTTTTTCCTCATGTTCAGATGGAACTGTCTGTGCTTGAGTTTGTGCTTGTTGCCCATTTTCTTTCCACTGAACAGCAGTGAGAAGGATCTGATCCCATCCAGATATTAAAATGGCTTCCTAAATTTAAAATATTAGGGTTCAAAGGCAGTGTACCTGAAATTTTGCCACTAGTGTGGCATTCAAATTTTCCCAACAACACTGAGAGAATAAGGACTGAAGCAAAACTGGATTTTCATCTGAACGGATGATTTCTCATTAACAGTGTCTGTTGCAGTAAGAAATTCTGATATTCTAACAAATAGCTGAATATCTGAAATATCTGGGGAAAAATAAAATCAGGAAAATGCATTATCCTTCTCCTCTCCTCTCCCCTCCTCTCCTCTCCTCTTGTTATTAAACAGAGAATGCTACATTTAAATTACTACTTGTAAGAATACATATATAAGAATTTTCAGTTTAGAAGTTACATTTTAGGTTTGAGGTAATGAGAAAGCAAAGGCTTTTATAAATCTTCCATGGCCCTATGCTAACTTGGAGATCCAACAAGCATCAAGTACAGTAGATGGAGTACACAGCTGATACCTAACTTACATTCAATATAATGGACATGTTTCAATTTATTGGTTAGAGATCAGATCAGGTCTTTTAGGAAGGAGAGGGTATCTCATAGAGCTCTACAGGTTGCTGCATTTGGTGCCTCAGATGGGAAAAATCAACTCACTGTTTTACTTCACCAAATCAAGGAACTAAGATGAAATAAGAAAAAAAAAAATTCTAACATTGAGGAAAATGTGAAGCATAGCAAATACAAAACATTTTGAAAGGTCTTACCCTCTGTCTGATAAGATATGCTCTAAAATATTTGGCTTTGAAGGCACAGCTGTATGGATTTAGCTATGTATGAAATAGCTAGCACTGATACCCTAAACTCTTTAAAGATACAAGCAGACAAACAGAAAGAGAGGGTTTTATGGTTTACTTCATGGTAGCTAGCAAGATTAAGTTCTCCTGCAGGAACACTGTTATGTTTGACATATCTGCCTCTCCATCATAGAGATAGGTGCAACTAGAGAGCTTTCTGACATAAAGGTGAGGCCTCTCCAGATCTCTAACACATTCTTCCCACCCCAGGATTAGGACAGCCTTGCAAAGGCCCTGTCTCAATACAAACCTCTATGATCTCATGCAAGGTGTGACATTTATTGACTTCAGAAGGAACATTTTTCCAAATCCTGATGGAATGGAGACAAGCTTGACACCTGATCATGAGGGAAATGGGAATGTAGAAAAATCAGGGGCACTGCTTTGGATTTCTAGATGGCTTTGGAATGATAATGCATGAAAGAAGAGAGTAAAGAGAAAAAAGCAGATACTCTATCTTTTCAACTATGCCTTGTTCTGGATACCTTAGGAATTTTTTGTCTTCTCCCTCTCTCATTCCCTCCAGCACTTTCACTAGCAGCCTTCTGAAAGGTTACAGAGATCTGAGTCAGATCCTCAGCTTGTATCTGTCTCTTTATGCTGACTTCTGAATTCTGAACATCTTGCACACTGATCAAACTGTTCACACTGCTTTTTCCTAAATTGTGTAAGACAAATCCATTGTCTTCTATGGAGTTAACTCCAATTTACATGAGATAAGAATTTGACCAATGATACCTAGATTAGAATGAAAACAGGAAGTTCTCTTTTTAAGCTTAATTTGAGTAGTTAGCAAGTAAATGTCTGTCTTTTAAAATTAATATGGACAACAGTCAAGAGGAATGTCAATGTACTAGGAGTCTAATCAGTACCTTTTTGTCAGACTGGTTGATCTACCCTTTCAGATACTCCCATTGACCATCAGTGTCTGTGGGAAATATTTATGAAACTTAATTTAACTCACTGCTAATTTTGTTGACCTGGAGGTAGAAGTTTTCAAGGTTCTCACTGACAGTTGGAATGCTCTTCAGCTGATTGAAGGAGAGATCCAGCTCAACCAGTGATGTTATATTGAAGACATTGCCTGGTATCCCAGCATCTGTTAATTTATTGTGGGATAAACGTAAATATTGCAGGGCTTTAAAACCTTGGAAGTACTCATCGGGAATATTGGAGATCTGGTTGTTATCAAAATACAGCATGAGTAAGGAGTGAGGGAGTCCTGTCGGTAGCTTTGTAAGTCTGTTGAAGCTTAAGTCAAGATACAAAAGTGATTCCAGGCCTTTAAAAGCCCCAGAAATAGATTCTGCTTTCAGCTGGTTGTTCTGGAGATGAATGACAGTCAGATTCACCAGCCCTTCAAGTGCTCCGGGAGTGACTTTTGTAATCTTGTTGTGACTTAATTGCAGGTCATCCAGAGTTTTGGGGAGTGGTCCAACAGCTTCAGTCAAATTGTTGTAGTTAATATGAAGTTTCTTCAGATGCTTTAGTTTAGAGAAGACTCTTCCCTTAATTTTTGAATTTTCCAAATGATTGTGATCTAGGATCAGCCACTGTAGATCTGTTACATTATCAAATGTGTTCTCTTCAATACCCTCAATCATATTGTTTCGAAGATAAAGGTATTTTATTCCACTTGGTACGATCGGAATTGTTTTCAGTTTAAGATTGTCACAATACATGGCACTAGGGTAGTTTAAAGGACAATTACATTCTGGGGCACAGACTGCTGCTGAGGGTCCAAAAGGATCATAACCATAATCATCTGCAGGACCATACTCATAATAGCAAAAAATGCCACTGATCAATAACAGAAAGACAGGTAAGGAGTTTAACGTCATCATTGCAACGTGTCTTGTCCCTGTATGGTGAAAGGAGATAAAAAAGTTACAGCTTTAACATTTTCTCTCTTTCAGCAATATTTGCAATTTTACCACATAAAGATTAGAAATAAAAACTAATTTAATCTTCCTATTTAAAGCTATTAATAAAAATTAGATTAGTTTATTAGTATTGCATTTTTACTACTATAAAATTGCAGTCCCATTCTGCTGTTGAAAGCAAAACATTCTTTATATCTTCTTGCATCCATTCATTGAGTCACAAGAAGGATGATACACTCAAAGATTTTTACACTTTGCACAGAAGAGTTTTTGTTTTTGCTGAAGGCCATTTTCAGAGGCAGTTCTGCCACTTAAATTCCGTCAAGCATTACTAATATACTGAACTGTCTTATACCTAAATAACATGTCAATTTGACTTAAATTTGAAAGAGTCAGGGAAGTGACAAACTGTGGGTAATGAACTGCTGTACAGTGTGGTTTTAAGATGCCTGAAGCTTGAAGTATCTTCTTCTCATGGATCATGTTCAGTAAAACATGTTCCATGAAGTTTCATATTCACATAAAGAGCAAACTAATAGAAATATATGTAATGTATTCTCATGGAAATATCAAACATCCAGCACTGCGTATGTGTGCAGGAGTAAATTCTACCTAATATGGATCAACAGTGGATCTGAAATGACTGAATTTCAGATAGTGCCAATGTTTTTGCGAATTCTCTATGTGTGTTGGTTACATTGTTTGATCATTCTAAATCAATAGATCAATAAAGCATCGGTTTCACATAGTTGGTCTTCCAGGTCACATACTGCAAAATGACATTGTGTATCCTTGGTCATGTTTTCTGTGATCTAATAGGAGAAATCTCATGTTGCTAAAATATTAAATGCAGAAAGGCACACCTTTCTGCGAATCTGTGAAGATTGATTTTTATTTCTTACTACCTGACTTGATGTTGTGTTGGAAAAGTTGATCTAGCATCACTGAAGTCAGTGACCTTGCTGTGATTTTCACCAGTAAAAGGTGAGGCTTGATATTCTCAGCTACTGTTCAGAGAATGAGATGATTAAGAAAATCTTTAGAACATTCTTGTTCTCAAGTAATTTCAGAAAGTATGTGAAGCCTGCTTAACAGACTACCAGACATTGATCTCAGATCTGGGCAATCTTCCAACAGGATAAGTTAGTCTGGCTGTTGGCACTGTTACACAGCACATAATGTTAAAATGCAGGGCCATACTTGAAAGTGTTCCCTAATCCTAAATTCCCTCACTTTTATTAAGTTGATAAAAGCCACATCACATTCTAGGCAGCTGATAATCTCAACTAAAGTACCTCTGGGCAGGGCTGGTTAATCTCACGCAGTACAGTATAGAGACTAAAAAAAAATGTTCTCATGTTATCTCCAATAAATCATCTACTAGATTCTTCTGCTAAATATTAAGCTGCTGTCCCCTGAATAAGGAGGACAATTACATATATTTTCCATGGTGTTGGTCTTACCACATTTGCCTAATTACAAACCATAGGATAGATCAGTCACTGAAATATGATTTATCAATATAATTTTCTTTGTCCTTCATTACTGCATAAGACCATGCAAACTCAACCTTCAGTCCCCTGGTGGTATAAATAAGTACAACTTCTCTGAAAGCTAAGACATCACAGTGACACTATTCAGCTCAAAAGCTGGTCCAATTTATGTGCTAAACGTTAAGGATGGGGGAATGCCTACTTCTTTATACAGAATATAAGATAGAGTGTAATTAACTTCTTGAACTACATTATTCAGCTTTACAGAGGCATTTTTACACATCTGAATCAGTTTATAGTCTCAAAATTCAAATTTTATTGTTCTTTTGGTTTCAAATTTTATATGTAATGCTAAGTTTTTTATCGATTTCACAGGCTGACAGTTCTTTTAATTAGTATACAATGTTTAACTGCTTTGCAGAACCCTGGAAGTAATTAAAAAGGTTAGGCAGCAAGAGTTTTGAATTATTTTGAATATTGTAAGATGTAGAATATTGTAAGAAAGAATATTGTAAAATGTAGGTGATGATTCTGTAGTGCAAGGGCATATGAGCACGTGTGGGCTATAAAATAGCACAGTTAAGTAGAAATGTAGTGTAGTTCACTTGTTTTATTCATTCACATATCTAAATATTTCTCTGTCAGAAGTGCAAAAGGTAAATAGGTCATTAACACATGCTTGTTTGTTACACTGAACTATACAAATCCAAAAGATAAAATCAGAATACTTTCTTAGATGTTTATCTGATAAGATAAACATGCTTGAATTACTTGCCTGTGTTTGTTCTAACCAGTTATATTGTAAAGTACCTGGGAAAATATTTATGAAATTGCTCAGGCAACTTGCCAAAAAATACTAAATGGCAAATCCATGATTTTGGAAAAATGCTTACTACAGTGGAGTGGACAAACTATTCAAACTGTTTTGAAGCTAGTCTATGCTACCTTATTTCTAAACCTGTTGTGAAACTAAACAAATATAAGCTTATCATTCAATTAGCCTTCAATAAATATATTTTAAATCTGCATCATAGCACCTTACCCAGTTTGCAAAAGATTTATGATTTTTATAAGTTTCACTAGTATATGTAAAATATGCTTTAAAATGTGCTTTAAAATGTAATAAAAAATTCAAAATACATATATTTTTAATCTAATTTAATTTTTTAGTTTATTAACTATTTAAAATATTATGATACCTTGTCTTTATATAAAATGAAGACAAATGATTTAACAAATTGAATCTGTGGAGGTCATAGTGAAAGATTATGAATGAATAAGGGAGCAGCGAACAGTCTTGCAAATTTCTTTCTACTGTACAGCAACGCTTTTGAAGTAGCACAAAACAGACTGTAAAAAAGTACAAAACTGCTGCACAAAATATGTGAGGTTGTTTTAAGGAAACTGAGAAAGTGAATCCTCTAAGCAACTGTTGATTTGTCTTCAATTTACAAATTGGCAAACTTACCCTGACATGTTTTCACGTTCCCATTACAGCTACATTTAAAGAGCTGAACATTACGGTTAAAACATGCAGCAGCACTTACCTTACTGCCTTGAAGCTGCTTTCCTTAATTCCCAGAACAGATGCAATAAGGGACTGTATCAACCAATATATGCTGTAAACAGTGTCAGGAGGTAAAAGTCTGCCAGATCCTCTGTGTTACAAGAGAGAAAAAAAAAAAAAAAAAAAAAATAAGCAACTGTTGATTTGTCTTCAATTTACAAATTGGCAAACTTACCCTGACATGTTTTCACGTTCCCATTACAGCTACATTTAAAGAGCTGAACATTACGGTTAAAACATGCAGCAGCACTTACCTTACTGCCTTGAAGCTGCTTTCCTTAATTCCCAGAACAGATGCAATAAGGGACTGTATCAACCAATATATGCTGTAAACAGTGTCAGGAGGTAAAAGTCTGCCAGATCCTCTGTGTTACAAAAAAAAAAAAAAAAAAAAAAAAAAAGCCCTAGTCACGCTGTACTGTGAAGCTGCTATGTCATCATGATCATCTTGTGGTGTGGCATGTACAAAAATTCAGCTCTCTAATGAAGTGCAGGTGGATACCACATTTTGTACAAGGACAACCCTTCTGTTATTCCTGTGGGATGAGAGGATGATCAATGTTTTATAAACCTGAGAAAGCTTAGACCACGAGCCACAGCCTTATACGAGGAATATTTGCATTTTAGAGGCAAAACATTTTAGATTGTAAAACAAATTGCCAACAGACTTTTATTTTCCAGCTTATTTTATACTGCTAGACATGACCTAACAAATAGCACTCAGACCTCAATGTTGCTATGCTTCTTCAGCCAAGTGACTCATTCATTTTTCTGCTTTTTTCTTTAACTGTCTTATGTCCACAGTGAAATATTCTTAATGAAACTTTATCTTAAGGATCAGAACCAAAGATGGAGGATTGTCTTTGAACTATAATATTTTCTGCAATATTAAATACTGAGTTCAAAGTTTCTTCTGTAAATCATTGGAATTTATTTGGTTTGGACATTTTCTTTAATGATTAAATGTATGTTTATTTAATAAAGAAACATCTCAGGAACAGTTTTTCAGCAGTTACTGTAAACTCACTTTATACATATTTTCATTTTTGCTTACAGCTTTCTCCTGCTTTTCAGAATCTGGAACTACTCAGCTTTAAGTTGTCTGTTTCTTATTTCATGGATGTAATTCAAGAATGCATCTTAAGGCTTGGATGAGATATTATTTTCACCAGGCAATGCCAAAAACATAATGCACTAAGAGAGTAACTGTTTAAAGCGGGTCTTAATATTTCCATAAGAAATCTCCCTTATCTCTTAATGGTGGATGTCCTCTTTTTGTGAGACACAAGCTCTTTTCTATATTGGATGGGGACAAATGTGAAACATGCATGTAGAAAACATGCAAAAGCTGTTTTAAAGTGTCTTGTATGTAATTGTATTTAACTGTGATTTTTGTGGGCACAGATAAAGGTTTTTTGTCTGTTATCGACTGGTTATCTTTCTGAAAAGTCACGGTACAGGATGTGGCTGGGCTGGAGAACATTGTCAGCTTCCTGAAGAAGAGGAGCCTAGATTTGATTTTTCCCCAAAATCTGCTGCTAATGCATCTGGGCCTCCATGCCAGTGCAGGTTACTGGGAGCAGGAAAAACCCTGGCATAATTCAGTGCCCTTCATTGTGGACAGAAAAGATGCCAAACTTTTTCAAACCACTGTGTATTTGCAATAAGTTAATTAGGAAACAAATTTGCTCAAGAGAGTGCCAAGTGTCATTGCAGCCCACAAGCTCTTTTGATGTTTTGACATCATTCCTGTACCCCTGGTATGGGAAACAGATTAACACATTAGGAAACATGCTGATGACACACCATAACTACATTACTAATTGAATAGTGCAAATAAGTGATTGTGAAACAGTGGGATTACAATACTGAATTAAACTAAATTAGAGAAGAAGCATGTGCGGCATCAGAACTAGAAATGTAGAAATGGACAAAGCTGTTGTTGTTCTGCATCTGGACAGAGACCAGATGGAGTTTTTCATGCACAGTGTCATACTTAACCTAAAATTCCTTCAGTATTTTCAACTGACCAAGGAAAACCTGAACTGTAGCCTTGACTGCAAATGAGGCAACAAGAAGGAGCATTCAGCAAAAAACCAACCAGAATAAGGGGAATACTAAGGTTTGCTCTGTGAAGAAGGCACAACAAGCTGAACAGTGGAGCATAATGTTTATAAAGATAATTTTAAAATCGACAAGAAAGGCACCAGTTGTGTTTTTTCTGATTATTTTATTATATTTTTTGAAAGACAAGCTCGATATTATAATTGCTACATATTTTGACCTTTCAGTAATAAATGTAGTTTTACATTTGCAGAACAAATAGAATGGTACATTGACTACAAATACAGGATAGTGCAGGCTTAATATATTTTTGGCATGGTTCTATTTATGCATCAGTGGTTTATTACATTGATGTCTGTAGGTCCAGTATACACTCTTTATTTCATTCTATTAACGGAAATACAAAGCATGCTGATCTTTATAACTTGTAGAAAAATCTTATTTAATAAACTGAATGACATTTTGCAACTAACATATGGTCAAAGCTTGGGTTCCATAAAGTTTAGCTGGGACTTTCTCATTAATATAGTTCCTGTCTTGCTGACTGTTTTAAATTAGCTATGTAAATTGCACAGTCAAGAAGAATCACATGCCTTCCGAGGATAAGATACAAAACAATAGCTTCACCTTTTTCTTTAAGGAGATTTTGTAATCTCTCTGCTCTGTTATTTAATAGTGACCCTTCAGCATAATTTTATATTCTTTCTTACTCTTACTATTCAGACTCCTGAAGCACTCAGCTCATAAACCTCTGTTTGGGAGAGCAGGTAAAGGCTAAAGCCCAGCAAAACAGAGGTATGGTTTCTTCTGCAGCAAAGGGTGGGAAAGTGGGTGTGTATTCTTTCTGGAGCTACTTTTTGTGGTTTTCAAGGGGTTTTTTTGGGAGATCTCAAAAACCATTAAAGTGTATGTGAACGAAGTCTAGCTCATTTCCAAGAAATACACAAAATACTGTGTAAATTCATATAAGACACCTAAGTTGAAAATTGGTTATGTATATGCTTCACTTGGTAATGTCAGGCCATATTACTATTTCACCTTTACAGCAACTATGCTCCTAATTAAACCATCTCATTTTGTTTTCTCCAAAACTAATTTTCTTCTTATACCTTATTTATTCATTTTTCTTTAATGGGAAATGTGATCAAAACCCATTCTTATCTAGCTTTCTTTGGCTTGTAATGCACTAACAGAAATACTCCTTTTATTTGATTCAAAGCCCCGTTCTTGTTAATTCATGTTTTCACAGCTGGAAATGGCCAAGAACTCTGGTAGGTTGTAGTGAAAGAATCTGAAAGCAGAGCTTACTACACGTATATTTGGCAGTGGGTGACATCTAGCCTTCAAATATTGTTGAATTACGGTGTCACTATTTTCTCTCTTCACTCTTGGGTGATATCCTTTCTTTTCTGTCCATAACTTCTATGCACTTCTGCATAAATAGCAACTCCTCCCAATCTGTTTGCTTTTAATCCCCTTTTTCCCAAAAGACTCTGGTTACTATAACCTAATATATTATCTAAACCGACTGCTTTCTATTAGTCTTAAACCCATATACACATCTGGTACACACGTGTACGTCAAGAACTAAGAGATTTTGGTGACCAAAATTAGGCATAGGATAGCTGGGTCTTAGGAGCACATAGCCCCAGAAAAAGTGCTTGTGGAACTTTTCATATTACCACATAAAATGGGTAGTGATTTTTTGCACTAATCACTCATAATTTAAATTAGATATTACTCTCAGGATGAAATGAAGGCTAGTTCATTTTAATTGGCTACCTTTTGCAGAAGGTAAAGAAATCTCTACTAAAGAAAAAGGCTATTCCATGGGCACCATGCAGCAAACCACTTAAACACATAGTGTAGTGTTTAGGCATGATATTTTTCATTGCATTTTATAGTTAATACCTGGTAAATAGACTCAAATCTCCAGGAATAATTAGTTAAATGTTTTTATTAAATCCTGCAGCATTTTGAAATGAGTTCCACTAAAAACAGTTCCATTCCAGATTCAGAAGGATGTAGGTGCTTATTATTTTTTCATCTGAAAACTTCCATTCCTCCAAATTGAATTTTTGTTTGTTCAGCCTGTACACTGCACTTACATGTTAAATGGAAAGTGTTAGAGCACATACTATAAGCATTACAAAATTTGCGGTGATCCAAAACCCTTTTTTCCCTTTCTCCTAAAAAGGAAATAAAAGCTTTGGAAATTTACAAAAATGGTAATAGTGGTACAAGCTATTAGCAGACCACAACAGACATTTTAGTTGACCATGAATCTTTTTCTTTTTTGTCATTCTAAAAAATTGCTTTCTGTTTTTCTTCAAACTTGACACTGTCTGTATTCTAGTACTGTTAACCTCCTCTCCATTGCTTTTCAGAGTGTTTCTGTGCTTAATTTGATTAAAAATGTCAATGAAAAAATTCCATTGAGTGGATTCAAAACTTGATGAAACCTCTTTTGTGGTAAGAATGGCACAGATGAAAAGGCAAGATGCTTTTTTAAAAACAGATTCCTATGTGTATATATATACATAATGTACTTTGAGTTATAGCATTTAATACATGCTGACCTATGTATAAAAGAAATTCAGGTTGTCCTGGAACATGAACAAATTAAAATTATTCCTAATGTAAAGAATTTAAGAGGATCTCAAGAGGTTGTTGAATTTGTGGGAAAGTTGTGGTTACAGGTAAAACTTATAGCAGCAGCTCTGTATTATAAACAGATACAGATATTTTATAGGGAAAAAAAAAGAGCTTGTCAAACTTGGCTAGCTCTCTGCCTGTTATTTCTATATAATAATGCTGTACTTACATAGATCTCCTTTGAAAATCATTGGGTGCTAAACATCTTCCCTTAATCTAGGCATTAACAGTGTCTGCCTGATTTCAGATCACTGCTCTTTAAGGTCAGAAAGGAGGTTGCATCATCTATCCTGACCTGTTGTATAACACAAACCATTAAACTTCATCCTGTTACCATTGTACTGAGTTCAACAAAAGACCTTTTCGTGTTTATGCTCCAGACAAC